TTATCCAAGATTTGTAGCTTAGCTTTCAGGCTTTAAACTGCCTTTGGTTTCAAAGTTGGGTTTCACTGGAGACACACTGCTAGCTGCCTAGGGGTTTGTCTGCCTCCTGCTGCTTTTTATTTTTTCAATTTTTAATTTTTTTTTTTTTTTAAATATGTGGTGGGTTTCACCATCATGGTCAGGCTGGTCTTAAACTCCTGACCTCAGGTGATCCATCCACCTCGGCCTCTCAAATGCTAGGATTACAGGCGTGAGCCACTGTGCCCGGCCTCCTGCTGCTATCAAAAGTACTAAAGTAATGCATCTGCCTGAGGGTTGCCCCTAGTCCCGCCAGCAGAGGTTTTTTTTTTTTTTTTCTCATTTAATCCTCAAAATAGCAAGGGTGATTGCCTTATCTCCATCCTGTAGGTGAGAAACCTGAGGCTCAGAGAAATTAAGAAACTCACATGAGGTCATGTGGTATGTAAGTTAGTTTTTGCTGCATCATAAGCCACCCAACTATTTATGATTTCAGACAGCTAACACTTGTTTCTCAACAACTGTGTGGGGCTGGATGGCCAAGGGGCCTCATATGTGAGGGACAGAAGGAGCTCATCATCAGCTGGGTGATGCGACCACAAGTCTCATTATCCAGCAGAGCTAAAACACAGGGTTTGACTTCCAAAAGCAGCATAAGGGCAGCAACACAAGAACCTTCCGGGGCAGGGCATGGTGGCTCACACCTGTAATCCCAGCACTTTGGGAGGCCGAGGAGGGTGGATCACCTGAGGTCAGGAGTTCAAGACCAGCCTGACCAACATGGTGAAACCCCCGTCTGCAAAAAAAATAAAAATAAAATAAAATAAAAGATCCTTCCATGTCTCACTTATGTCATATTTGCTATTCTCCCATTGGCCAAAGCAGGTCCCAAGGGCATGGCCAGCCAGTAGGGAGGGGACAACCAAAGGGTGGATACAGGGAGTGAGAATTGCTGCCATTTTCTCCAACAAAGAATCTACCAAACATAACTTGTAAGTATACAAATCAAAACCAAGTTTGTCTTACTTGAAGGTTCAAAACTGTCTTGGAGCTACTGTCCAGAGTCTAGGAATCCAGAACATTCCACTCATTACCTAAGTCAACAACCTGTTGTGTACACACACTTGCAACTGTTTTGAAAATGTATATGGATCTGATTGTCATTGATAAAATGTAAATTAATTTAGAAGTATTAATCAATTCATAGAATAATTTTATTGTGTTTTCTAATCAACAGATATTTATGTAATTTCGAAGCAGCTCTTCACAAAATATTTATTAGTTACAAAAGGAAGTCACTTCACAGAGGAAAAATCTGGCAGGTACCACTTTAATCAAGTAACAAAATTGAACATCATCAGTAACAGGACAAATTGCAATCGTGTCTCCTGATAGTCCAGCAAGAAAAACACAGCATCACTTCTATGATGTTCCTGCCAATAATACATAATTGGAATCTCATCCTAGAGCAACAAATTCAAATTAAGAAAAATTCTACAAAATAATTGGCCCATAATAGAAATGTAAAGGTCGTGAAAGTCAAGGAAAGACTGAAGAATTTGTTCCAGACTTAAGATGAAAGAGACATGAGAAATAAATGCAGTGGTGATTCTGAACTGGATCCTGACTTGGCAAAACTTGAATAGGTCTGTCGGATGGATGGTAGAAATGTATGAATATTGATTTCCTGATTTTGCTAGCTATATTAAAATTTTATAGGAGACAGTCCTTGTTTATAGAAGACACATAGTATTTAGGGGTTATAAGGAGTCAGATCAGGAATTTTCAAATTGTTTAGCCAAACAAAAGTTCTTTGTACTTTAATTCCAAGACTTCTATAAATTTGAGATTTTAAAAATACTTAAATAAAAACTCCTTTAAAGTCTCTCAACATGTTGACCTAGTAACAGATTTTTAAATTTGTTTTTATTTTTATCAAGGTTTCATGTGCCCATAGTTTGAAGTGTTGGATCATTTTTATTTATTTATTAAAACATTTTTTAATGCCACTCCATTCAGAGGTAATGAAGTCTGTCACCCAGGCTGGAGTGCAGTGGTGCAATCTTGGCTTATTGCAACCTCTGCCTCCCAGGTTCAAGCAATTCCCCTGCCTCAGCCTCCCAAGTAGCTGGGATTACAGGCAACTGCCACCATGCCCAGCTAATTTTTGTATTATTATTTTTTAAGATGGGGTTTCACCGTGTTGGTCAGGCTGGTCTTGAACTCCCGACTTCAGGTGATCCACCCCCCCCTTGGCCTCCAAAATTCTTGGATTACAGGTGTGAGCCACCATGCCCAGCCTAATTTTTGTATTTTTAGTAGAGACGGGGTTTTTTAAAAACTATTAAGTCATGGTTACTTCCTCAAGACTGTCATAATCACATACTTATAGTGTGCCCTTGCTCAATTTTATTGTTTAATTTAAAAATTTGAAAAAGGATCTACATGCTCTACTCAGTGTAGTTCAGTGGTGTGCTGCTAACTACTGAAACATGGCATCTATTTTGCTTTTGTTTTTTTGAGATGGAGTCTCGCTCTGTTGCCCACACTGGAGTGCAGTGGCACGATCTCACTGCAACCTCCCCCCTCCCAGGTTCAAGAGATTCTCCTGCCTCAGCCTCCAGAGTAGCTGGGATTACAGGTGCATGCCACTGTGCCTGGCTAATTTTTTTGTAGTTTTTAGTAGAGACGGGTTTCACCATCTTGGCTAGGCTGGTCTTGAACTCCTGACCTTGTGATCCACTAGCTTGGCCTCCCAAAGTGCTGGGATTACAGGCGTGAGCAACTGCTCCCGTCCTGTGTGCTTGGCAATGGCTCACATGAAATGATTATGGAAACCCAAAACAACCCACAATCTGCCATCTGTAAACCAGAGAACTGGGAAAGCCTGTGGTGTAATTCAGTCAGAGTGTGAAACTTGGGGGTTAGGGTGTCACTGATGGTGTACACTCTAGCTGAGCGTGAAGGCCTGAGAACCAGGAGCACCAATGTCCAAGGAAAGGAGAAGATGGATGTCTCAGAAAAAAAGAGTAGGCAAATTTGCCCGTCTTCCTCCTTTTTGTTGTTTGGGGCCTCAGCAAATTGGATGATGCTCACTTTGGGAAGGCCAACTGCTTTACTAATTCACCAATTCAAATGTTAATCATCTCTTCTGGAAACACTTTCACAGACACACCCAGAAACAGTGTTTTACCAGCTACTCAGATATCCCTTAGCCCAATCAAGGTGACACACACAATTAAAAATCACAGACTGTTAAAAAAAAATCACAGATGAGAAGAGTCAGAGTATACATGATAATAAAAGCTTAAATAATAATGATTTTATCCAGTATTTATCTTTTCAGGCTAAAAATTATATTTTAGAATAAAAAATGGGAAGGGCAGATAAGTTTTGTTTGTGAATTTCCATCTCCCTAACATGGTAAAAATAATTTTAGCAAAACAATTTTAATGTTAATATTATAATAGACATGTAAACACAACATTGTAGAATACAAAGATGATTTTTTGTTTTCTAAGTGGGGGTTGAGAATTTTCATTTCACAGAGTCTTCTTGTCATCCAAGGCATTTTTAGAGGCCAGTATTTCTAATCATATTTGATAATGAGGAAGATGAAGTAACTGACTTCCCCAAAGTCACATAACTTTGTGGCATAGCTGAGACTAAACTTCTGAGATTCAGATTTTCAGGCCATCAATCTTTCTGCCACAAAATAGTGATGCTTAAATACCTGAGATGCTATCATAAAAAAGGGCATTATTAGAATGAAAACACTGACTAGGACAGAATAATTTAATGACATTTTATATCTCATAAACTCCTCTCTCTTCAGTTTTAACTATTTGAAAAAATTTTGGGCACATCAGAAGCATGTGAACCAGAGGAACTCCATCTTGAATAGGAGCTGCGTAAAAGGTTGAAACCTACTGGGCTGCATTCTCAGATGGTTAGGGCACCGTAGGCCACAGGATGAGATAGGAGGTCAGCACAAAATACAGATCATAAAAACCCTCCTGATAAAACAGGCTGCAGTAAAGAAGTCGACCAAAACCCACCAAAACCAAGATGGCCAGGTGAGTGACCACTGGTCGTCCTCACTGCTACACTCCCACCAGCATCATGACAGTTTACAAATGCCGTGACAACCTCAGGAAGTTACCCTATGTGGCCTAAAAGGGGGATGCATGAATAAGCTGCCTTTTGTTTAGCATATCATCAAAAAATAGTCATAATAATGTAGAACCAGCAGCCCTCAGGGCTGCTCTATGGAGTAGCCATTCTTTCATTTGTTTACTTTCCTAATAAACTTGCTTTCACTTTATTTTGTGGACTTACCTTGAATTCTTTCTTGCGCAAGATCCAAGAACCCTCTCTTGGGGTCTGGATTCGGACACCTTTCCGGTAACATCATTCTGACGACCACAGAAGGGAATATAGTGAGGAAATCCCTAACCCAAAGGCTAACTTGGGGTAAATGGTGGGGTCCTGTAGCAGTCAGTCATAGATTTCTACCTTAAAAACCAGTTTTGGCCGGGCGTGGTGGCTCACGGCTATAATTCCAGCACTTTGGGAGGCCGAGGTGGGTAGATCACAAGGTCAAGAGATTGAGACCATCCTGGTCAACATGGTGAAACCCATCTCTACTAAAAATACAAAAATTAGCTGGGCATGGTGGCGCGCGCCTGTAGTCCCAGCTACTCGGGAGGCTGAGGCAGGAGAATTGCTTGAACCCAGGAGGCGGAGGTTGCGGTGAGCCGAGATCGCCCCATTGCACTCCAGCCTGGGTAACAAGAGCAAAACTCCGTCTCAAAAAAAACAAAAACAAAAAAACCAGGTTCGAATATGAATAAGCAAGGTATAACAGATAAGGAATTTTAACAACTTAGACCTTGTCTCTTAAGTATGAAATGCTGTTATTCTCTTCTCCTCCCAAGAGAAAATCATTGTTAAATAGGAAAAGATTGACACAGAACAACATGTAGAAATTATAATACTTTATTGTAAATATTTCCAGAATATAAACTGATTTTGTATCAATATTCTTTCAAACTTTAGAAACTCTATGTAACCTAAGCTTATTACTATAATGTATATCATTTTCCACTTTCCAGCTTAGAAAATACACTGCAAGTTAGACCTAAGAAAGGAGAAAAACATTGCCATCATAGAGAAAAACCAATAAAAATAAAATATCCAACTTAAAACTATAACAAACTCAATCTAGAAATAGTTTCTGCAAAGTCCATTAATCCTCCTAAAATAAATAACTTCCCAAGAGAAAATAATTCCACCATCAAAGCAATTGGATTAATACAAGCAGAGCCACTTTCATTAAAAGGAATTATATGTGAGAAAAATGTAATAACGCTTTTAGAAAATAAGAAAAAGTAATTTCTGTGTTGGAGAATAAGCATGCTAAACACTTCCTGTTCACTTGGCCTTTGTTAGAAATTAAAGATCCTATTCATATAAGAAAAGTGATATGAACATGGACATCATAAAACCATGCTCTCAACTATTTTTTCAATTTAACTTTGGGAGAACCAACTTTGAAAGCTTCAGAATCCAAGAATAGACTGGTCCCAAAGCATTTCCTCCTCTGTCCTTTCTTGGCCTTGTTCCTTTTTCTTTTTCGTATGCTTACGTTCCTCTTTCTTAGAGACTACGTCTTGGCTTTTTTTCTCCTTCCGATTCTTAAGCTTTTCTGTACTGACATGTACGGTTTCTGTTTCCTTTCTTTGGACACTCTTGTGTTTGTCTAAATCAATTTCCTCACAACTTTTTTTTCTCTTATGCTTGGCCCGCTCCTCCTCTGATTTTTCTCTGCCTTCCTCTGGGTGCCTTTTCCTCTTCTGATGTATCTGTTTGTGACTGGCTTGATGGGTACTGGTACTGTTATCTGAGGAGAAGCACTTATAAACTCTAGATTCTATACCATGCGAGCCATAAATATATTCTTGCTGATTAAAGTTTAAGGGTACTGGTTTTTCTGAGAAACAGTACCTGGTGAACTGACAGTAACTCAGAGAGTCTTGTCTCAATCTGGTGTCATGGGCTGGTAACCACTGAGGCAATTGATTTTCCACTGTTTGTGAAATACTGCATGATCTTGGGTAGGTTTGGATGGTTTCAGACGGAAGTCTTTGATTAAACATTCTATATGTGCATCTGGAATCAACCTCTCCTTTGTACCCACAGGTTTCCAAATAGTCTTCTCTCATCTTTCTGAAACAAGTCTTTGGCTCTAAGCCTCTGGCTTTCTGTACTTTAATATAATCTTCAAGTTCATCTTGAAAAGAGTCATATGTCTTCTTTGAATGCTTCATTAGGTTGACAAAATAGGATGTTCTGCAAAGAAGGGAAAAAATTCTTACCAGATTATCTGAGTATTTCCTTTGCTCTTTTTTTTAACTTTTTGTCTGAGATCGAGTCTCGCTCTGTTGCCCAGGCTGAAGTGCAGCGAGGGCACACTTGTGTCACTGCAACCTCCGCCTCCCAGGTTCAAGATTCTCCTGCCTCAGGCTCCCAAGTAGCTGAGATCACAGGTGTGTGCCACCACACCGAGTTTTTTTTATTTTTAGTAGAGACAGGGTTTCACTATGTTGGCCAAGCTGCTCGCACACTCCTGATCTCAAGTGATCCACCCGCCTCAACCTCCCAAAGTGCTGGGGTTATAGGCATGAGCCACTGTGCCCGACCTCCTTTGCTCTTGAAAAGCTTTGAAAAACAAAGCAGCTCAAACAAATTACAACCTAGTTCAGCATAAAAGTTGAATATCTTGACATTATATGCCAAAAGGTAGCATCAAGATGGTCAGATACCTCCCAGGTCATATACCAGTAACTTTACCCTTCTCAGAAGTGGGAGGAACAGGGTAGAAAGGAACTGATACACATGTTGCTGTCATAGGGCTAAAATGTGAGACAAGTAGGGATGTATGGATTGGAACCATATATCCATAGTGGGTGGCTTGATATCAATGTAAAAATAATTTCTCAACTTCTCATGAATTGGTTTCCTGTACATTAGTTTCTAAGAGAATAAAAACCACAGATATAGAATTTGATTTTTAAAATCTTCAGTTTACTCAAGATAAAATAAACATACCCACCTCAAGACTTAATAATAAAAAGATTTTTTTTTTGAGATGCAGTTTCGCTCTTGTTACCCAGGCTGGAGTGCAATGGCACGATCTTGGCTCACTGCAACCTCTGCCTCCTGGGTTCAGGCAATTCTCCTGCCTCAGCCTCCTGAGTAGCTGGGATTACAGTTACACGCCACCATGCTGACGAGGATGGCCTCGATCTCTTGACCTCGTGATCTACCCGCCTCGGCCTCCCAAAGTGCTGGGATTACAGGCGTGAGCCACCGTGCCCAGCCCAATAAAAGGATATTCATAGAACGGTTTGGGAAATGAGAAATTCAGTTATCAGATGAAAACTACTTTTAGGTATCCGGTATAAGGGAAGATGAAGACACAGAGTTCTGTATCTTCTGTGTAGGGCTTGGATTTCATTCCACTACTTCTGATTGGCGAAAAAAGCATTCTAGAATGCCTTCTGGTTTGTTCTCTCTTAAAATACTGAGAAATAAGGGAAGAAACAGGGGTAAAAACTGAAAGGGGATGGGACTGATGTTGAGAAAATTTTCAGAAGAAACTTACAATAAATATATCGTTTTTGTTTGCTTGTTTGATTTTGGGGGGGGGGCAGCAGGACTGTTCCTGATTCTCTTTCATTTCCTCACCTCAAATCCTGAATAAATACAAATATAGCAGAAAATGTACTTACTATGAGATTACAATGCCATATATATGTATATATATACACACACATATATGTATACACATATATATTTTACACACACACACACACACACACACACACATATATTTGAGATGGAGTCTTGCTCTATCACTCAGGCTAAAGTTCAATGGCACGATCTCATTTTACTGCAACCTCCACCCCCAGGGTTCGAGTGATTCTCCTGACTCAGCCTCCCAAGTAGCTGGGACTACAGGTGTACACCACTGCGCCTGGCTAACTTTTGTATTTTTAGTGAAGGCAGTATTTTTGTATTTTACCATGTTGGCTAGGCTGGTCTCCAACTCCTGACCTCAGGTGATCCGCCTTCCTCAGCCTCCCAAAGTGCTGGGATTACAGGTGTGAGCCACTGTGCCAGGACTGCATATATATTTTTGGTGATATATTTTATCTCAAAAAATTAGGAGGGAGTATATCCCATGTAGAACTGAACATTTCTTCCCTTTAGCAGAAACAAGCCTGGTATAGTCCTCTAGAGTCTGACTAATAAATCAGCCAGTTTTTTAAATTTGGAAATTTGAGGTTAAAAAGAAAATGTAAATGAAGCCTAATTTGACAAGTTAGAAAATATAGTTCCATTCAACTTAAACAGTATAAAAATCCTGACTAATGTAACAAATACTTGCTTAAATATGGGCAAACTATTTTAACCTATACTTCAGAAAAGAATATATGCAAGTGACCAATAAGCACATGGAAAAATGTTTAGAATCGTTAATCAGCAAGTAAATGTGAATTAAAACCACAATGAGATACCACTATGCACTTACAGAATGACTAAATGAAAGACTGACAATACCAGTGCTGATAAAGGATGTGGAACAGCTGGATCTTTCATACACTGCTGATAGGAATGTAAAATGGTACAACCACTTGAAAAACAGTTTGGCAGTTTCTTAAGAAGTTAAACGTGAGGGGTGGGGTTAAAAAAAAAAAAGAAGTTGGTTGGGCACGGTGGCTCACGCCTATAATCCCAGCACTTTGGGAGGCCGAAGCGGGTGAATCACAAGGTCAAGAGATCGAGACCATCCTGGTCAACAAGGTGGAACCCCGACTCTACTAAAAATACAAAAAAAATTAGCTAGGCATGGTGGTGCGTGCCTGTAATCCCAGCTACTCGAGAGGCTGAGGCAAGAGAATTGCTTGAACCCAGGAGGCGGAGGTTGCAGTGAGCCGAGATCGTGCCATTGCACTCCAGTCTGGGTAACAAGAGCGAAACTTCATCTCAAGAAAAAAAAAAAAAAAAAAAGTTAAACATATTTACCATAAGGTGCTGTTATTCTACTTCTAGGTATTTACTTAAAGGAAAAGGAGATACAGTCATGATGGTGATCCTATAAAATTATAGTGGAGCTGAAAAATTCATAGTATGTCATAGCACAATGCATTATTCATGTGTTTGTAGTGATGCTGGTATAAACAAATCTACTATACTGCCATATAAAAGTATACCATATACTATGTACTGTACGTAAGATTTGATAACTATACTACTAGTTTATGGTTTATTTACTATATTTTACATTTTATTTTAGAGTATACTCTTTCTCCTTATTTAAAAAAAAAACAAAAAAAAAAAAACAAAGTTAACTGTAAAACAGCCTCAGGTAGGTCAGGAGGTATTCCAGAAGATGCCACCATGGGAGATGATAGCTCCATGCATGTTACTGTCCCTGAAGACCTTCCAGTGGGACAAGATGTGGAGGTGGAAGACAATGATGATCCCGACCCCAGTATAGGCTTAGGCTAATGTGTGTGTTTGTGTCTTAGCTTTTCATACAAAAATGGAATAAGTTAAAAAAAAAATAGGGCCAGGTGGGGTGGCTCTTGCCTGTAATCCTAGCACTTTGGGAGGCCGAGGCAGGCAGATCACTTGAGGTCAGGAGTTTGAGACCAGTCTGGCCAACATGGTGAAACTGTGTCTCTACTAAAAACATAAAAATTAGCTGGGCATGGTGGCACATGCCTGTAATCCCAGCTGCCTGGGAGGCTGAGGCTGGAGAATTGCCTGAACTTGGGAGGTAGAGGTTGCAGTGAGCCCAGATTGTGCCACTGCACTCCAGCCTGGGCAACAAAGTGAGACTCCATATCAAAAAAATAAAAATAAAAACAAAAACAAAAAATAGAAAAAAACTAAGAATAAAATAGGAAAAAGGATAAAGATATAAAGAAATTAAAGCAATTTTCTGTTTTTGAGACAGAGTCTCCCTCTATTGCCAGGCTGGAGTGCAGCGGCATCCCGGCTCACTGCAACTTCCGTTTTCCGGTTTCAAGCAATTCTCCTGCCTCAGCCTCCGGAGTAGCTGGGACTACAGGCAGGCACCACCACGCCTGGCTAATTTTTTGTGTTTTTAGTAGAGATGGGGTTTCACCATGTTGGCCATGATGGTCTCGATCTCTTGGCCTCGTGATCCGCCCACCCTGGCTTTCCAAAGTGCTGGGATTACAAGTGTGAGCCACCTCACCTGGCCTAGAAATTATTTTTGTGCAGCTGGACAATGTGTTTTAACCTGTTATTACAAAAGAGTCAAAAAGTTAAAAAAAAATTTTAAAGTTTATAAAGTCAAAAAAATATAGTAAGCTAGGGTTAATTTATTACTAAAACAATAAAAATATTTAAAAAAATAAATTTAGTGGGCCAGGTGTGGTGGCTCGTGCCTGTAATCCCAATACTTTGGGAGGCTAAAGTAGGCGGATCACCTGAGGTAAGGAGTTGAAGACCAGCCTGGCCAACATGGTGAAACCCTGTCTCTACTAACAATATAAAAATTAGCTGGGTGTGGTGGTGGGTGCCTGTAATCCTAACTACTTAGGAGGCTGAGGCAGAAGAATTGCTTGAACCTGGGAGGTAGAGGTTGCAGTGAGCTAAGATTATACCACTGCACTATAGCCTGGGTGACACAGAGATACTCTGTCTCAATATAAATAAATAAATTTAGTGTAGCCTAAGTGTACAGTACTTATAGTCTACAGCAGCATACAGTAGTATCTTAGGCCTTCTCATTAACTCATCACTCACTGACTCAGAGCAACTTGCAATTCTGCAAGCTTCTCCATTAATGGTAAATGCCCCATACAGGTGTACTATTTTTTATCTTTCATACTATATTTTTACCGTTTCTTTTCTGTTTAGATATACAAACAGTTACTATTTGTTATAATTGCCTACAGTTTTCAGTATAGTAACAAGCTGTACAGATTGTAGCCTAGGAGCAATAGGCTATACCATCTGTATTAACTTGTGTAGTAAGTTATACCATCTGGTTTGTGAAAGTGCACTCTATGATGTTTGCACAATAACAAAGTCACCTAATGACACATTTCTCAGAATGTATCCTAGTCATCAAGTGACATGACTGCCTGTCTATACAAAGACTTGCACATGAATGTTCATAGTAGCTTTATCTGTCATAGTCTCAGAAAGAAAAGAAACTCAAATGTCAATCAACAGGTGAATGAATTAAATCAAACAGTGGCATAATGATACAATGAAATACTATCAGTGATGAAAAGGAATAAACCAAATTGATACACATGACATGAGTGAATCTCAAAATAATGAAAATAATTATAATTCTTTTATATTATTCAAAATAGTGATACACTGGGCATAGTGGCTCATGCCTGTAATCCCAGCACTTTGGGAGGCTGAAGTGGCAGAACTGCTTGAGTCCAGTTCAAGATCAACCTGGCTAACACAGTGAGAACCTATTTCTAAAAATAAATAAATCAATAAATAAAAAGTAACACTAGCTTGACAAAAGAGTACATACGATATGATTCCATTTACATACAACTCTAGAAAATGGAAAGTATAATAACAGTAGTTGCCTGAGGAGACGTGGGAAGAAAGCATTCTAAAGGGGCATTTTCTTAGGGGGGTGGTAATGGATATGTTCATTCTCTTAATTGTGGTGATCATTTCATGGCTATGAGGTCAGGAGTTTGAGACCAGTCTGGCCAACACAGTGAAACCCCATCTCCACTAAAAGTACAAAAAATTAGCTGGGCTTGGTGGCAAACACCTGTAGTCCCAGCTACTTGGGAGGCTGAGGCAGGAGAATCACCTGAATTGGGGAGGCAGAGGTTGCAGTGAGCTGAGATCGAACAACTGCACTCCAGCCTAGGCGACAGAGGAAGACTCTGTCTCAACAACAATAACAAAAAGAAGTGACTAATAAGATTAAAAAGAAGTTGATAATTGTTGAAACTGGATGATGAACACATGAAGGGTCATTATGCAATTTTCTCTATTTTTGAGTATGTTTGAAACTTTTGGTAATAAGATTTTACTTCATATCTACTAGGAGGGCTATAGTCAAAAAAGGATAATAGTAAGTGTTAGCAAGAATGTGGAAAAATTGGAGGCTTCATTCATTGCTTGTGGAAATGTAAAATGGTGCACCTACTTAGGAAAACAGCTTAGCAGCAATTCCATCAATTCCACCCAGCAATTCTACCCATATATTTCATAAAAGAATGAAAACCTATGTCCATGCAAGAATTTATACACAAATGTTCACAGCAGCATTATTCATTACAGCTAAAAAATAGAAATAACCAACCCAATGCCCATTAACTGATAAACAGATAAACAAAATGTGGTATATTCATATAATAAAATATTATTCAGCAGTAAAAAGGAATGAAGTGCTGACATATGGTACAACATGAATGAAGCTTGAAGACAACATACTATGTGAATGAAGCCAGTTCCAAAGGACCACAGATGGCACAGAGATGAATAAAGAGGTGAATGGAACCTAACTTACCTTTATCAGGCTGAGAACTTGGTGGAGAAATCTGATCATATTCACCCAGTTTTTCAGCATGAACTTTCAAATAGTGAGACTATACAGTAACTGGTGAGCTAAAAACCATGATTCAGAAATTAAAAATCAATTTTTGTTCAATTCTCCACTCTCATTCATCTGAAACCAAACACAGTCTCGTCACCAAGATTAAATAATTCCAATTTTTTAATTACATCAACATAGACCAATCTGAAAATTCCACCCTGTAATCCCGGCACTTTGGGAGGCTGAGGCAGGTGGATCACCTGAGGTCAGGAGCTCGAGCCCAGCCTGGCCAACAAGCTTAAATAAATAAAGTTTGTTTGGCTCAGAGTACACTTAAGTTTATACACTGAACTAAACTATATTATTGGTGCAGTTAATCAAAAATCAAGCAGCAGGCTCGGCACGGTGGCTCACGCCTGTAATCCAAGCACTTTGGAGGCCAAGACGGGCGGATCACCTGAGGTCAGGAGTTCAAGACCAGCCTGACCAACATGGTGAAACCCCATCTTAAAAAAAAAAAAAAAAAAAAAAAAAGATAAATAAAGCAGCAACAGGAGGCCTAAAGTAAAGACCACCTGAGAGCACAGTAACACCTGGGAATACCTCTGAGTGGTTGCAGAGCAGGTAATACTGCTCTGGTCTCACTAATGCCTTCTTAACATGGAGACTGAATGAAGGCCTTGCAAAGATCTCTGAGGAGGGAGGCAACCTCTGTTCCCAAGATCCGGGAGGGTCTTTGCAGATGGGAGCTGGCAAGGAGAAAAGCCATGCAGGGCAGATACTACGGAACACCTCAGGCTCTGCCCTGGTTCTTGCTCTTTGTCCTCAATGCTATGCATTGGGTGTGGTCAGACCCTGTGGCTCCTCATCTGATATACTTCTGATGCAGCCGCACCCTGATAACATCGGTGATAAACTCAGAGTACTAGTTTAGTATGTCTTAGAAGGGTCTCAAGTGTTCTTCACAGGCTATCTTATTTACTTCTTTATCCTCCCCTTCCATGCCCATAAGATCAATGAGATTATGCACATAATAAAAGTGTTTGGAGCCTAGAGCTGGGGGCCAACATGGTTCCTATGCCTGCATTGGTCTCCTGGACCCATGCTGTAAATTTTACTCGTGTCTCTGTCTTTATTTCCCTTTCTCAATCCCTTGTCACCGCCAGGACTAAGGGCACCCATGAAAGGGGCTGGGCTGGTTCCCAACATTCTTTTCTTGTAGTGATTAACTAAGATGACATATATGAAGTTTACCCACTACATTTAAAAAGTGACATTTGGACATATTCCTTCTATTTTCAACCTACCTCATAATGCAAAATCCTTTGTTATCTGAACCGTAATACTACTCCACAGACATCTTTTATAAAAGGTATCTGTAAAAGTCCAGTTTTTGTTCACTCAATGTGGTATCTATCAATAAAAGAGTAAGATAGAAGATTATATTAAATAGTGAAGGTAATATTTTCAGTCTTCAACTACTATATTTCATATACCATCTCAAATCTTAATTTTCTGAGTGCTTGCAAGGATAGAGTAATAATTTTTTTTTTTTTTTGAGACGGAGTTTCAATTGTGCAATGGCACAATCTCGGCTCACCACAACCTCCACCTTCTGGGTTCAAGCAATTCTCCTGCCTCAACCTCCCGAGTAGCTGGGTCTACAGGCGCACACCACCATGCCCAGCTAATTTTTGTATTTTTAGTAGAGACGGGGTTTCACCTTGTTGACCAGGATGGTCTCGATCTCTTGACCTCATGATCCACCCGCCATGGCCTCCCAAAGTGCTGGGATTATAGGCGTGAGCCACCGCACCCGGCCAGAGTAATAAAGTTTTGTTCATTAGAATGAAAATTTTAATTTGAAAATATTTAGTAAGCCTCTAATATTTAATATGTTAACATATTTTTATTTAGTATACAAAATACCATTCTGAAGAAAAAGTTACTGGGGCACCAGTACTGAAAGCTAAGAAATCCAGTCATGGCATTTTATGTTTAACACTAACAATTTAAAAAAATGCAGTCTACTTTAAATTAGCCAATGATTCTAGATACATTACCAGTGTCATCTAAGAATCACATGGAGGAGCCACAAATCATCTAAACAGGGTCTAGCTCTGTTAACCAGGCTGGAGTGCCATCTCAGATCACAGCAACCTCTACCCGCCGCCCCCCCCGCCCCCGGCCTCAAGTGATTCTCCTGCCTCAGCTTCCTGAGAAGCTGGGAATACAGGTGCATGCCACTGAGACCCACTAAGACCCACTAATTTTTGTACTTTTTGTAGAGACAGGGTTTTGCCATGTTGCCCAGGCTGGTCTCAAACTCCTGAGCTCAGGTGATCCACTCGCCTTGGCCTCCCAAAGTTCTGGCGTTACAGGCATGAGCCACTGAGCCCAGCCCACAATTATCTTTACCTATGGTAGGCAACCTTCTTCCATGTTTGGTACAAATACAATCACACAAATTTTACTAAATAGGTTTCAGAAAAGCCCTTCAAAGCTACAGTCGTATTAATATATTAGCTTCTACAACTTTTGCTATAAGTGTTTCTCACTTAATAAATAATCTATGCCAAAATGACTATATTTACACTTGGGATCTATGTTTCAATCTAAAGTTCCTAACAGCTAAAATTTATTTTATAGAAGTTTACCAGTTTATACATTGGGTGCCAATCATGTAACATCAAAATTGTACTTTCTATGCAGCAGTTTAAATGGATGAGTTAGAATCATATGTAATGTCATGGAGAAATGCCCATGATATATTAAGCGGAAAAGCAATATGTAGAACTCTATCAATCAATTGTTCAATCATAAAATCCAATTTTAGTATAAACAACCCAACATATAAAGCCCCAACTTAAATATATATATATGTATTTACTGTAGGAGGAGTTAATGCATTTGGCCTCCAATCTTCCTTTCCTGGGGAAAAGGGAGAAAGATAACGGTGACGTCCAGACCTCAAATAAAGAGCCTAATGATGGCGGGTGTTGAACAACGAGAACACATGGACACATGGAGGGGAGCATCACACACTGGGGTCTGCTGGGGGTGAATAGGGGAGGGATAGCAGGGGGTGGGGAGGTTGGGGAGAGATAACATGGGGAGAAATGCCAGATATAGGTGATGGGGGGATGGAGGCAGCAAATCACATTGCCATGTACGTACCTATGCAACAATCCTGAATGATCTGCGTGTGTACCCCAGAACCTAAAGCACAATTAAAAAAAAAAAACAGAAAGAAATTCATCAAGAAATATAAATATGCTGTCACTTTTAAAGAAAAAAGAAAGAGCCTAATGATATCTGCTAGGAGGAAAAGATCTTACCCCTAAAATGCCCTTAGCAAGATGTTCCTAGATTACCTGTAGTAAATAAACCCGGAATCTATGAGGCATCTCTCTCTGAAGAATGCCACACAAGCTATACAACTCTCTAGGGTATAATAGAGAGATGAGCCACAGTTTAAACATTCCCACTGTGTGAGGTGATCTTGTGAATCTTATTTAGAAACCTTATCTATTTATTCTGGGCCAAAGATACATGTCCAAAGTGGGAGTACTAATCTGTTCTCAAACTGTTATAAAGACATACCTAAGACTCAGTAATTTATAAAGGAATAAACTGACTCACAGTTTTACATGGGTGGGGAGGCCTCAGGAAACTTACAGGTGGAAGGTGAAGGGGAAGCAAGGCACCTTCTTTTCAAGGTGGTAAAAAGGAGAAGTGCTGAGTGAAGGGACAAGAGCCCCTTATAAAACCATCAGATCTCATGAGAACTCACTATCATAAGAACAGCATGGGGAAAACTTCCCATTACCTTCACCTGGTCTCTCCTTGACATGTGGGGATTATAGGGATTGCAATTCATGATGAAATTTGGGTGGGGACACAAAGCCTAATCACATTACACAGTCTGAGGAGCCATCTTTCATGTATTAAGACACTCTGCTTCATTTGAGTCTCCTGACTGCCTGTATCCTTGAAATAATTAGCAAACCTGATGAGTCTGATTTGACAGTCTGATCTTGTGTGTTAGCTCAGTATCCATAGGAAAAAAATCTGAATAGATATATGCTAAACTTAATGGAGTTTGAGAAATGGGAAATTGGGTCAGAAAATGAGTAGGGGCAAATATTTAACATATTGCTCTTTGTACATCTTTATATATATATATATATATATATTTTTTTTTTTTTTTTTTTTGAGATAGTCTCACTCTGTTGCAGGAGCCAGGCTGGAGTGCAGTGGCACAATCTCCGCTCACTGCAACTTTCACCTCCCAGGTTCAAGAAATTCTCCTGCCTCAGCCTCCCAAGTAGCTGGGACTACAGGCGCACACCACCACATCCAGCTAATTTTTGTATTTTTAGTAGAGACAGAGTTTCACCTTGTTGACCAGGGTGGTCTCGATCTCTTGACCTGGTGATCCGCCTGCCTCGGCCTCCCAAAGTGCTGGGATTACAGGCTTGAGCCACCGCGCCCGGCCCATCTTTATAATTTTTGCAAAACACATGTATGACTTTATACTCAAAAACTCCATAAACATTTAAGATACACTGGGTGTCTTCAAACTAAGCTTAATATTAGTGCCAGTGTATGGATTAAAAAGATTTGCTTAAAAATATTATGTGCTCGAGGTAATCATAAATCAGAAACCTTTAAGAAAGGACATGAAGAGTATTAAAAATGTATCTCAGGCTGGGTGTGATGGCTCATGCCGGTAATCCCAGCACTCTGGGAGGCAGAGGTGGGCGGATCACTTAAGCCCAGAAGTTTGAGACCAGCCTGGCCAACATGGTGAAATCCCATCTCTACTAAAAATACAAAAAATTAGCCAGGCGCATTGGCACATGCCTGTAATCCCAGCTACTCGGGAAGCTGAAGTACGAGAATCTCTTGCATATGGGAGGTGGAAGTTACAGTGAGTCAAGATGGAACACTGCATTCCAGCCTGAGCAACAGAGTGAGACTGTCTCAAAAAAAAAAAAAAAAATCTCTATTATATATATATATATCAATTATTTCTGAGTTGTTTTAAAATATAGGACTTAATTACATTTGACTCTAAGGTCAGCAAGGTAAAAAGGTTAATACAAAGGTTTTCAGAACTTCGCTTGATTCATAGTTAATGAACAAAAACTGACATGGTGATGTGATGGTGACTTTTTTATTAAAAATCTTGGTTTGGTGTGGTGCTTTGTGCCTGTAGTACCAACACTTTGGAAGGCTGAATTGGGAGGATCGTTTGAGGTCAGGAGTTTGAGACCAGCCTGGGCAACACAGTGAGACCTCTGTCTCTACGAAAATAAATCTTTAATTAGAACAGGTAAATACTATCTTTCAGTAAAATCCAAATCAGTATACATGGAAAGTTTACTGACAAATAATTATTTAAGCTCAAGATACCTTAAAATAGAACAATTATTTTCTTCCTGGTTTAACCCTTAATAACAACCAGGCTTCCCATTTCTAAAAGGCAATGTTGTAAGCTGAGGTAAGAAACTTGGGGTTACCTTTAACTCCTTTGCCAACTAAGCTCTTATTTTTTCTCTCTGTTAAATAGCAAAATATTATCAAGCTCAAAAATCTCAGCCATTTATCTCCTGAGTCATGACTGTTCTATCTTTATAATAATTTCAAGGCCACCCTTTCATTTTTCAACTCCTATAACATTATTTAGTTCAAGTTCTCCTTGCTTTTGGACTTTATTAAATTTTATCACTACTTATTGAGTTTGTCTTCGAGGTACTCTGTGGTGAGTACTGCGGGAAAGGATAGGAAAAGAGAGATGCACTTTATCAAATGCCCACTGTACGCCAAACAATACATTATTATTTCAGTTTTTTTACTTCTGCAAGTATTTCTCATAAAGATGAGAATATTGGAATTTAAAGAAATTAAAATATGTTGCCACATGTGCTATTTGGTAAAGCCAGATATTAAACTTTGGTTTATCTCAACCCTTTCCCTTTCATGCACTTAGCTGTCCACACACTGGGAATAAATGAACAAGACAATTGTTAATATTGAGGACTTCACAATTTTGTAAAAAATGAGATGCAAAAAACTATGATGCAAAACAAAAATGTGTAAAGTGCTGTAAGACCTAAGAATACATAATGTGTTCTTGCTGAGGGGTTTGTGGTGAAGAATGGATTTTGAACGGAGCCTTAAAGAGATGGGTAAAATTTAGAGGAAAAAAATGAGTGAAGAAAGGTATTCTGGAGGAGAGGGCATTAGAAAAGGCTTTTCTGCTTTAGATAAAACAAAATATGCATAAAAGTAGTGAAAGACAGTGCTAAAGGTGCTAAATCATAACAGGCTTTATTGGGACATTTGGATTTAATTCTGCAGTCAATAGGGGAAGAAAAAGAGACTCAAAATGGGGATATTGTTAGGAAGCTGTTACAGGCAAGAGATTATTGGGCTGCACCAAAAGAGTGGCAGAGCTAACAAAAAGAAAGGGAAAAATATGAGATATTCTAAAGGTGGAGTCAAATTTGTGATAGCTGGGAAAAGAGCAGATAGAAGAAAGAGTGGGGGCACAGACAATTCTAAGGCTTTGATCCTGGGTAAAGTTATCTTTAACCGAGAGATTAAGGAAGAGGACGAAGAGTTATTGCTATCGTTATCCCCCAGAGGGAGGGAAGTAGGGAGTGGAATGAATAAGCATTAAGCATTCAAAAAGACAAACGAATTTGATTTTGGAACAAATCTGGATTCTATCAAATTTATAGTTTCACATCTCTCCTTTCCTGTTCCATTCTTCTATGTGTTTAATTCCTCTATGTGAAGCTGGGTTTAAAGAACTTGTAGATGTTTCATGTACCTTGAAATTCCTCACAAATTAAAACCATTGGGCCCCTGAACTAATTGAGCATGTATCAAACTTCAATACACATGATGGGTAACAGGAACTACTAGATGAAAGAAAGCTTGGTAGTGAACTCTGGGCGTCTGTAGAAATCTTTCCTCAGAAAATTTTGATCTCACCTCTCTTTTACTTGCAGTGATTACTATGTATTCACGAATACAAAGGTTGCAGCATTATACATTTTGAAGAACATAGACTGTGACTGTTGTGGAGTACAGTGAAATTCTCTCTTCCTCTGACCTGGGCATTATTTTCATCCTTACCATTTTATTTTAGCATTAGTTATTTTTTAAATAGTCATAATATTACTGGTTTCTAATGACCTTTGCAATTGTTAAAATCCTGGATCATCTCTCCCCCCATATTGGTTATCTTCTCTCATGGGACATGGATGTTTACTGACTTGTTACAGGTTTAGGCTACTATTCCTAAATGAAGTTTCTTTCTTTCTCTCCCCATCCCTGTTCCACCTCTCTTTCTTTAAGGAGACACAGTCCCCCGAGGCTGGAGTATGGAGGTGTGATCATAGCTCACTCAGGCCTTGAACTCCCGGGCTCAAGTGATCCTCTCACCTCAGCCACTAAAATAGCTAGGACTACAGGCATGTGCTAGCACACCCAGCTAATTTTAAGTAATATTTTGTAGAATCGGGATTCTCGTTATATTGCCCAGGCTGGTCTTGATCTCCTGGCCTCAAGTAATCCTCCTCCCTTGGTCTCCCAAAGTGCTAAGATTACAGTTGTGAGCCACCTCACCCACCTGAGAATTTTTAAAAAATTCAAATGATCTTTATCTTGGTATTTGCTATAGCTCCCACACATACTTTTTTATATGCATTCAGTCTATGTCTTCATTTACATTACTGGTGAAAACTTAAGGACAAGGGCCAGATAATACCTATGGCATGCTACAAAGAATCTTCTCTCTTCTTGCATCTAGGATTGATCTATTTATTATGGGTTTAAGTAGAAAGAAACTAAGAATTTGATAGTATCTGAGTTTATGTCAAAATCAAATTCAGCATCTTTTTGAACACTATGCCTCTCCACTCTGCTCCCTACTACTCTCCTTCTTATGGGTCTGATCTATTTGTATCACACTGAAGTCTTATTTTTCTATTTTGCTGATATTTGAAAGATACAGGAAATACCCTTTTAAAATTGTAACCATCTTTTCTACAGCAATCGTTCTCAATCTCAATCATTTTGACCAAAGCAATCTACAGGCAGACAGGAATAAACTCTTACAGTCAGCTGGTGTAGGGGTTACAGCCTAAAGAGACCAATCACACACAGCAGTATTTCAAGTTTCATAGTTTAACAACTCATGAACT